TATTTTTTTGGCAACAGATAATCATCCAATAAATACTGTGTGAATTAGGGCTGTTGTAAACGAATATTTTAGTAATCGAGGTACTCGAATCATTCGAGGAATCGTTTCAGCCCTAGTGTGAATGCATGTGTGTGTGTGTGTTACCTGCAGCTGGCCCAGCAGAGCGTTGGTCCTCTCATTAGGAAATGTTTGATTGATGCTCACGATGGCGGAGGAGAACTCTGCATACCGCCGAGTGATCTGAAATTAGAAAACATAAACTCACACCACAAAACATTTTCTGATACTTTTCCTTCCACTCAACTTTCCAACCTTGCTAAATAATCTTTGTCATTCAAAGAATTTAATCTCCATTAATATGGAAATAATACAACATAAAATCCTTTCTTTTCTTGCTCTTACATACGAACAGAATCTTGCAGATTTCCATTAGCGGTAAGCCATAAAAACTAAATGGTACTAAACACTGTGTGAATTTATGGAATATATGGATTTCACTTTTAGAATATAATTACTGAAATAAACAACATTTGGATTACATTAAATTTTACTGCAATGCGTCTGCATAATTTTCTTTATACCAAATCACACATCTCATAAAATTTAATTATAAAGCTGGAACCATAACCGATGCAACAGGTTCACTATGATTGAGGCCAGGAGTCGTGGTCTTTGTGTGTGGTCACATACGTAGTGTGGTCTGGTGTCCAGCACTCCCAGTTTCTGAGGGTCCGTGTTTCTGATGCTCTGGATGTTCATCTCCAGAATGAGTTCAAACCTCGGCCACAGCAGCTCTAACACGGCGTCCCAGAACCTGAGAAACAATCACAACTTCTTCAGGTGATTCTAGATAAACAAAGAATAACACAATCATATGTGCATCCCCCAGTTGTTCTTGTAAGAATGACTCCAATGAAAGTGAAGAAATAAATAAAAACATAGAACCATATGATGCACTTTTCATTTCAATGTGAAACTGACTTGTCAAGAGCAGGGATGGTCCTCTTGGCTGTGATGGCTCTGAATCGGAGGATGATATGGATGCAGAGAAAGATAGCGATGCTGTCGTAGCAGTCTGACACGTAGGTGGACATGCTCTTCTGCAGACGGACACAGAGAACAAGATCACTAAAGTTTTAGGCATTTAGTGCATTAGGCACAGTGAAGTAAATAAATAACCGCTTCCCCAGGTTGGAATTGTAAATGAGAACTATTAAATCATCAAATATCACAAGATAAAAAAATAAAATAAACGTTAAAAAAAAGCTAAAATTACATATTTATAAATCATATAATAAAAGCCCTCATCCTGCTCATACATTATTAAGATATATTTTCCATTTTGGCAAATTAGGCTTGCATACGAAAACAAAAATACCGATAGGTGCATTGGGTAAAATATAAAACAAAAATGTGTGCACTCTACATTAGGATGAAACCCATGCAGCTACACAACTGGGGATAAAACAGATGTCCATCCATACCAGGAACATGCTGAGAGTTTTCCCCATGATGCAGTTGAAAAGGTCGAGGGCCGAGTTTCCGGTCACCATGAAGAAGTCACACAGGAAGAGGTATTCTCTGCAGCCGTTGTCCAGCAGGGCATAGTGCTGGCTGCGGAACAACGTCTCATACGGATACTGGGGAACAAAGACAATTAACAGATTACAGATTAGTACAATGTTTCTTAGCCCTAAGCAGAAATGATGCTAAAATACTAATATTTAGATTACAAACGCCATTTCCTGCCCCTCCTTAAATATTAATTTTTATGGCAATATTTAAGAATATTTATCTTTCTGAGTTTATGTTACAAAATAAGGATATAATTATAGTCAAATAATCCTTTTAAAAAATGAAAAATGTTATATTTGTTTGAATAAAATCAGTTTTTGTTTTTACTTTAGATTGTAATTTCAAATGTGTGCTCACCCTGCTGTCCCCTCTCTGAGCTGTATGTGGAACCAGGATGGGACCCTCCAGCTCAGCTGGACTCAGTATTGTCCCCCTCTGGCCCAAAGTGAAAATGGTGTTCCTGCTCTTTAAAGACGGTTTGGAGAAAAAACCTGCAGCTCAAAGTCAAGGATGGTTTAAACAGGGCATCGGTACATCAATGCTGTCCTGTGTCTAACGGACAGTCATGCAGTTGGAGTTCTTCTGATAGGAACTCTTCAAATCAATTGAGCTTAACATTTTAAAACTTTTTACCTTAGCTGACAACATTCAAACAGAGGAAAGTTTTCAGAAACTCCAAAAAAAAAAAACCTCAACATAAAACACAAACAGTTAAATGTTGTTCATAGATAAGGACATAACAAGCTAATGTATGGAAATTCAGTAAAAAAAAAAAAAAAGTCACTTTATTCTAAAAGGTGACTTAAATGTGCTGAACTTGCAGGATGAAGGCTACACTTCTAGTTTCCTTGTGCCTGTAGCAGAACAGGGTACAAGATTTTATCTGTTTTGTTCAATAAAATAAATGATTTTTGCTGTATGAAAATGAAACTCTTTCTAAAAACAAAATACTTTACTTCTGTACTAATTACCTAAAAGAAAGTATGTTTCATTTTCTTCTAATGTAATTTCAATGTTTCATTTTTCATGAGCAAACACAACCGCAGATAAAGACAGAAATTGAAGGATATCTTTCTTAGCTGTATCTTCCACTCCCATCAGGTCATCTTTTTCTGCTACCTCCTCATACTGAAATAGAGCAGGATAACAAATTATAATATAAAATAAAATTATTTAAATAAAATGAAGAGCGGTAAAAGGACAAGAGCTTAATGCTTTCCCACATCTTGACGGTCTGTGGTGGACCAAATAAAAAATGTGATGAAGCAGAGATGAACTTATGGAGGTCACATCACACGCTTGTGATTTTTCTTAATGGATCCACTGACCTGCACTTTCAGGAGCCGGCCACTGTAGGACTTGAAGTAACTGTAGTAAATCTTGCTCATAGTGTCCACATACTCGTCCCTGATCTCCTTGGCAACGGTTCTTTCATTAGCCAAAAGAAATTGATAGAAAAATCTACAGCAGGACAATCAGAAGGACAACCATCAGTCATTTTCACTCATTTTAGAATATGAAAGAAATGGAAAACGGATGTGATCTTTTGTTCAATTTACACATTTTAGCTGCTTTGATGGTTTAATTTTTATGTAAATTTGGAATGACCCTTTTCAAAAGGCACCATAAAGTAGAAAAGTACACACCTGTATTTCAGCAGAGTATTCTGCGGGATCTGATAGTTTGTCATTGGTTTCCTGAAGGAGTAGATCTTCTGAAGAATAAACTCTCTGATCTTTGAGACCGCCTGAGGGGGAGAAAGTTCAGTTTACTCACTGTGAAAAACATCGTAAAAGAATCCTAGAGGAGTTCAACTTATACAAATACAACTAAACTCATCCGGGGTTTTAACAGTTCTTTTGAACATTTGACAAATGATTTAAAAAGTTATGTAGGTTGATTACGTCACCCTGAAACATTTCTTTATGCAGCAAGTGTACATTTAAAGCAATGACTGAAAAGCAAACAACATAAAAGAACTGAAGTTACTGCTGTGATGCAAGGAGGCTCACATGAAACCAAACCATACAATGAATTTCCACCCTCACTCTGGGGTTTACCTTGAGTTTGAGGCGATCAACAATGTCCTGGATGTCGGAACAGGCCAACGTTTCTCTGAAGCTCAGCTCTTTGGCAAAGTTGATCTTTGTGTTGAGCTCATGAAGCTGCTCGAGAAACTCCTGCTCCGTCACTGGACTTTCCAGGATGGTGCTGTGATGACAGAGGACAACATCAAGCCCCTCGTAGTAACTTTTTAATCGCTGAGTTTTAATACAACATCCCTATGTTTCTTATTCTAATTTTGTCAGGAAACAACATGAAATAATTAATAAAGGCTTTATAGAATTGTTGACTGTATGCTCAACATGATTGAAATTATTCTGTCTTAAACTTACGAGATCATGACTCCGGGAACCACCAGCTCGTCCACCAGCTGGCTGAGGTGGCTGCGCACGGCCTGCCTGTTCTTCAATCGGACGTTCATACTGACTGACTGTTGCTGCAGGGTCTGGATCTCACTGCTGATGGAAGAAAGATCGCTCTGAAAGCCACTCAGCATACCCTCCATTCGCTGAGGAAGAAAAGCAAAAGCAAACTATTAAAAATCTGTAACTCAAGAACTAGAAAGATGTTTTAACTAAGCTTTTTCTAGTTATATGAAATAGTTACACACTAAGAAAACTGCAGGAATTGAACATTTTTTCGATTAGATGTACTGTGGATAAGTGGTATACAAATAAACTGGGCTCAAGTCTGGTCTCACCTCCAGTATGGAGTCACAAGCAGTGATCTGGTTGTGCAGAAGAGCAATGTTTTGACTTTCCTTAATGTCTAACATAAATGGGCTCAGGATGGAATTTTGCATTGTTGAAAAAGTAGAACAATTCCAAGTCTCACAAGAGTTCAGTAAACAATTCAATGAAATGTTAGTTTATTAATTGTCCATTTAACATAAACTCTTGGATTTAGTCATAGCCTATGTCTCGGTGCCGATATCTCACTTCAAACGTGAGGGCCAGCAAGTTCTAAAATGTAAAGGATACAATCTTTGATGGAGGCCTGTTCGATCCTCTGCAGCTCCGCCTCCACCTGCTTGGAGTACTGACGTAGGTCAACGCCCTGAAAACAGACACAAAGAGAAGAACTGAACTATTAGAAAACGTGGTTATTGTTGGATTCGTGTAAAAAGATGTTCACCTCAGAGTTACGTTGTAAAAGAGAGCATGTAAAAAATAACTGCTTCATTTTTAGAGGGTTTTTCAGACCTGGTGCATTCTGGCTGATGAGCAATCTGAGATGGTTCAGGACATTTGAGAACATGTTCATTTAACAGTTTGAATTAAAACAAATTACATTTGTGTACATCAATATACTGCATTGAGGCCTGTTGAAATTACAAATGAACAGTGTAGTTACATCAAATATCTTGTGCTTCTGGTTTGTGAAAAAGAATACATTCTGAACCAGGTAATGCAACAGAAAAGTGAAAGTGACAGAGACACAATAATGAATGCCTTCTCTATTGAGTGTGCACTTTATTCAAAATATAAAATTCAGAAATAATAAAGCAGTTAGTAATTGTCACAGTAACAGAAGCAGGTTTTATCCTTTGGGTATTTAAATCTCTACAGTGGAGAAATTAGGAGGATTAATAGCCAGGTCAGTTTAAACATTTAAGTTGTATATTTGATACAAATGTATTGTGATGCTTTTACCGTCTTAAGAGCTTCTTTCACAAGATCATCTTCCAAGTTTGCCTGAATATGAGCTGCAGGAGGAAAGAAATAATAATTAAGAAAAATCTTGTAGAAATCTGAGATCAAAAAGACTTTCCAAGACAAGAACTTCCCCTCCGAAATTGACTGAAAAACTTTAAATAAGTGTACAACAACAGCTAAAATATGAAACCATGCCAATGAGAGACTGTAAGAATTCAGATAAAATCAAATATGGTTTATGTTAGCAAGAAAGAAGAATGAAACAGAACTTAAGATGGCAAAGACCAAATGTTTAGTGATGAGATATGTTTACAGACCAATAAATGTACTAAATATTTTTTCATAAGGTAAACAATAAATGAGCAAAACTAGTTCATTTTGGGACTGTGAACTTATGTCAGCATGAAAAGGTACTTAACTTTTCATGCTGACATGTATACATTAACAAATATTCAGCCCTTGTGAACTAAAAAAAAGACTGGAGCAATACAGTTATGAACTAGAGTCTTACTGTCCACTTCGTCCAAGATGAACTCATCAGTGGTCAGGTCCAGTTCTCCCAAGTTAAGGTTAGTGATGTCTCCGTCAGTTTTCTAGGGAAAAATAGAAATATAGCTATTTCAGAAAAATTCTCTAAGGGTTTCATCTCATTTAGTGAAACAAGTACTTGTGTAGTGCGAGGTATTCAAAGTATAGCAGATAAAACCAAATGTTTATCACAGTGAAAATCTGACTTGCAACACCCTCAATTGTCTGCTCTAGTTAGGTTTTCGTTGCTTGCAATCAACCTTGTAATTAGCTAAGTTGTCGGTCTACAACTTAGCTACAGTTAGTATTTAATACTTTGGTTTTGTCAAACTAGGTGCTCCATAATTTGACTAGACAGTTTGAAGCCTGTTCGGGAAATGCTGGCAGGTACTACTATTACCTAAAGCTATTCTTAATATTTAACTGTGTCCCCGCAAAAAGGCTATCGAGTCAACTAAATGAACTGTTACCTCGTCCTGTAGATACGCCATGGCGATTTGTGTTTGGTTTCCAGTTGTGTTTACGTCGGCTTCAATAAGACCAGCAGGTACTCCCTCCGCCATTGCGGCGAATTTATGCTAACGTAGAGGATAGAAAGGAAAACAAAATCACGAATACCCCCAAACTAACGTTCCGCTTCCAGGTATCAGCCATGAAAAAGCATTTAACATTTCTTTAAACCTTGTAAGTTATGTGGCTTCAGACTTGTGAAATTATTTTATACATATAAAATAACTCTAAAATGTATATATTTTTTTGTTTACTTAAATTGGCTTTAAGATGCGTAGAATCTCATCGGACCCACTAAAACTGGAGGACCGATTTCCTGTCAAAAACTCAGCCAAAGTCTCGCGAGATAATAGCGTCTTCCTCTTTGCACGGAACCTGCTTCCAAGATGGTGAGTTGATTTTCGACCGATCTAGTATGGTTTTAAAATCTTTAATCATCGAGCTTATATCTACTTTATTTGTGGTTTATTTGTCCACATTAAATACTATGCATGTTGTGGGGATGAAATAACTTGAAATCGTTGAAATATGAGACATTGTATTTGAAATACGGTACCCTATGTTATCAACGCTCGTTAGCTGTGAGGAGTCACTGAAGCTAAGAAGCGCCAGTGAATTTAATACCTACAATTTTCATTGTTAATTTCACTAAAACACACGTTTCACGTGACAGTTAAAGCAGTGATAACTTGGTTATATATTTGAGGTCCAAACATATTTATATCGCCCATAGACAGTTGTGTTGGGGGCTTCAATCGCTGAGCTAACTACTTTGTTAGCATTAACAAGAGCACTACAAATGGAAAGCCTGTTGATTGCATTAAGATTTGCATTTTTGCATTTAGTTTGATTGAACAAGTTAAACATTTATCAACAGATTGTATCTTGCATTTTGCAATGCTGTGGTCTTACGGTAGTTCTGTTGCTTGAATTCAGCCTCTGATCATCTCTTTTCTTTTAGTGATGTTTTCCCTGTTATGATTATGATTTCAGTCTTTGGTCATCCCTGAGAAGTTCCAGCACATTCTTCGTGTTCTCAACACGAACATTGATGGTAGGAGGAAGATCGCCTTCGCCATTACAGCCATCAAGGTATATTTGAAAAAAAATAATATTTTTAAAATATTTGACCAGCTTTATTTATTAAACTTTGTGCTACATTTGAACTTAAATTTTGAGCTTGCTGCACTTGGTCTCTTTTGATTGTTCACATAAGAGTATACTAAATTACTGTTTGTCTGATTTAAGGGTGTAGGCAGACGCTACGCTCATGTCGTCCTAAGGAAAGCTGACATTGACCTCAACAAGAGGGCTGGAGAGCTCACTGAGGAGGAGGTAAGCATAGCTGCTAAAAACTGAAAATTATTAGTTCCAAGTCTGGCTAGAAATCTTTTTTTTTTTTTTTTTTTTTTTGGACAGATTACCAAATTAAATAAGAATTATTGTTGTCTTGAAAACTTATATATAGTTCAAATTTGCTGTAAAGATGTAATTGCCCTACCATTTTGTGCTTTTGAAGTTTTGGCCTTGACCATGTGTTTGTTCCTGCTTTGCATTTATTGTGTATGCATTTTAGTAGTTGGTTATTTGAATGAATTTTCTCAAATCTACTCAGTCCAAGATGTCGTATGGAGGTTCTTTAGACAGCATAATCACAACCTGCTTTATGAACAGAAGCTCCAATAAGGTTGAAATGCAGTTGCCATTGCTCTTTGCCCTTCCAGTTGACTTCTTCCCAGTAACTGAGTTCTTTGTGAGATGTAGTTGAAATATTAAACATTTCAGCCTTTTAGAGGATGAGATAATCCTCTAAACATGAGTAGCATCTTATCGGTGGTTATAAAGGAATCAAAACAATGAACACTGTGGGTCTTGTTTTTCATAACCTGATTTTAAAACATTAGGTTCCATCTTAAATTTTAATTAGCTTTTAATACAATCTATTCAGAGTTACTTGTATTTATTCCTCAAAATAATAAAAATATTTTAAAAGCTAAATATCGTTGGTTCACTTTAACTCTTTATTTTTTTGTGGTGGTGGTGGTTATTGAAAGACTGTATCTGAACAAACATTGAAGCCATATGTTGGTAAAATAAAGATTTGATCCACAGCAGATTCATGTTTAAAAATAAATAAATTTACATCTAGGCAAATAGGCTGATCTTTTTCTGGTAGAATTCAAGCTCTCTTATTTGCTGCCAACTATTAGTACTAATGACGTTATTTATGTAAATGTTTGCATATATATGATTTGATTTTATTTTTATAGGTTGAGCGGGTAGTGACTATCATGCAGAACCCTCGTCAGTACAAAATCCCAGACTGGTTCCTTAACAGGCAAAAGGACGTCAAGGATGGCAAATACAGCCAAGTAAGTGGTCAACAGTATTATGAATGATTTTGGACCCAATGAGACACTACAGCCTGAAATGCTGTAAAGTTTTTTTAAACGTTTCCTCAGTTAATCACGGATCACTTTTATGTGCATCTCTAGGTCCTCGCCAACGGTCTGGACAACAAGCTGAGAGAAGATTTGGAGAGACTGAAGAAGATCAGGGCTCATCGTGGTCTCAGACACTTCTGGGGGTAAGAATTAAGAGCGTTTGTCCATCTAGAAGAACTTACAACATCCTGTTCACCAGGAGCTGCTCTGTTCTCACACCAATCTTGCTATTTTTAGTCAGTTCATTTGTAATAGTGCAATAAAGCTAAGATTGAGAACAATATTGCAGCTCAAAGTGTTGAGGCCCTACATAGACTGGCAGATTGGTTCAGCTGAAGATTGTTAAAATACAGAACAGATGAGTGGTGCAGAGAGAGCCTGTCCTGGAGAGACTTGAATTTCTCTTGAATGATTTTGGTTTCTATGCTGAATACTTTGCACTACATTAACTAAATAAATTGGCTTGAAAGAAGAGTAGGCTGGCGCTCGGTTGCTCAGTTTTTAAAGAGCGCATGGACCATGTGGAGATGTTGTCTTTGACGTGGTTGTCCAGGGTTAGATTCCCGGTCCCAGGCCATTCTCTCTTCTCTTTCCTGTGTACTGCTGAATAAAATCTATTTAAAAAGCCATTAAATTTAGTTTTGCTATCATGTTAATCTGATTAGCCTTCTCTTTAAAAGTGAAGTTTTTCTGTTGCATATTGTGTAAATATCCCAATGCAAATTGGTCCCTGTGTGAAAAGCAAGCATGTCTATATGACAATGGAAAAGGCATATCTCTTTTATTTATGACAAATGGCATATGTAAGACGTATAGCAGTGTAGCTTTGCATTTCCTTTTGGAAGTTGCATTGTATTTACTGCATAAACTTTATTAGTTGGTGAATATTCTCATTCCACACTATATTTCTCTGTACATATATTTGTTTTGAAGTATTGTGAAATTTTTACAGTGCTCTTAAAGAATATTTGCTAAGCAAAACATAAAAAAAATAACCTTCTTGCTTTAGTTTGTTTCCATAGATGAACTAAAATGAATTAGTTTTAACTTTTCCTGCATCTCTTTTCTCTATCTACAGTCTCCGCGTGCGCGGTCAGCACACCAAGACCACCGGCCGTCGTGGTCGCACTGTCGGTGTGTCCAAGAAGAAGTAAACTCCCTGCTTCCCTTTGTTTCAATAAAACACCACAATTCACAAAATGTACCTGTCCTGTTTTTTTTTTTTGTTTGTTTTTGATTCAAATAGTCATCCTGAAATTGGTTTAAATAGTTTATTTTCAATTGTTCAGAAAGAGTGACTTTTGTAACAGGAATAATATTTAATTTACCCATTATATCCTGAAAGTAGGTAAACTATGGCTGCAGGAAATATAAAGTGCAAAGAAACAATAAGCAGAGTTGAAATTGTTCAACTCGTGTTCAGCCTTCATAAAGAAGGCCCATGTATGGCTTTTTTTTTTTTTTGTCTTTTAGGCAGGTGTAGAAACATACTGTATTAACTAAAGCAAATCAAAGGGGTGAAAAGAGTTAAAATACAGAAATAGCTGAAAAATGGTTAAAATAAGACTGTAAAACGGCAATAAATCATTCTGCCCATTTCCAGTTATATTACAGCAAAATTATTCAGGACAAATTAAGACTTGAGCATTCTAAATACAGTTGGATAAATCTACATATCTATATTAAAGAAAAGCTTCAAAATGTACAATTTCCCCACTCCCAATGTATGTTAATATTCAGAGCTGTTGCTGCAAGTTTGTTCACTCAATGTTGAAAAGTTACAGCTGTCAATTAGTCATTACTGCCACAATAGTACAACATGTAATGACATGACAGCTGGATGAAGAGCTGGTAGGAGCTTCAGTCATGTGGTCTATTAAAAGTAGCATTATATAAATGACCCTTCATCAGGATTGCAAGACAAAGAACTTAAGCAGGAGAGGAAAAAACATTAACTTTTCAGAATTAATTTTCTGAAACTATTTGGGATGACCTATGCCTTATCAAATGCCCATCATGACCGTAAATCTAAAGCACCAACATGTTGAAAACAAGTAAAGGAAACATAAAATAGCTGGAATTAGAGTCCTTTGATTGTAACATAACCAAAACAAAGAATGGTACATGATGCAAAGATTTTTGGAGGAATACATTAGTCAACAAAAATTTTATTAAAAAAAAGGAATGAAAATGCAGACTCCTGAAGGAGGAAAAGTCTGCTGACCAAAGTGAATTTTATTAAATGTTTTTCTTTTACTGCTGCAGATTGCATCATCTTTTCTGTTTATGATCAATTCCTCCAATTCAGGTCAGCCGTCAAATGTGTCAAAAAGTATGCAAAAGAAATCAAAGAATAAACCAAAATTAATGCTAGATTGCAAACAAAATGGGTGTTTTCACAGCAATTGACAGAACGGGGTTATGACCTCATCCATCCTGCGGTGGGGGGGATTTCTGCTGCAGCTGATGCTGCTGCGCTGCTTGAGGCTGCTGCTGCTCCTTGGTGGGAGCGTAATAAAGCTCCAGCGGCTTTCGGACCTTCCAGTATTTCTCGTTGACCAATTCTAGTGTCAGAGAACCGTTGAGCGTCTGAAAGGAAAAAATAGGTGACTGGCTTGCAAGATTTTCTTTATGCATAAACAGACATTTAATCCTGAAGATGAGAGAGGATTTGGGTTTGTTACTCACTGAAAACTGCCCTCCCCTTGTTGTTATGTAGATGGTGTATTGTTTCTCACTGATGTTGCTCAGACTTGTCCCTTCTCCACTCCTTGACGCTGCTCCAGTTTCACCTTCTCCCTCTGCTCCTCCCTCCTCTTTTCCTCTGTTCTCCGTTGGTCCATCAGTCCGTCGTTCCTCGAGAGCGATGCGCAGCGCGAGGTACTTTGACAGATGGTCCACAGTGGCGTTGGCTGTTGTCTTCACATATCTGTCAAAAGAGGGAAAGATTAGTTGTATTACTATTACTATTTATTACTATTAACAGCACCATATTTAAAGATTGTTTACTGTTCAACTGCCAAACAATTAAGCTGGTCATAAATTGATATTCTTCAGAATTGTGTAGGAAAGAAAATGTTTATCGCAGAATGTTAATCTGAAAGTGGTAAAAGAAAACATCAACATGCAATTAAAATTAGAATTGCTGGATATCACCTCTAAAAAGCATGTATCCATAGCTAAGTCTGTCATTGCATGATAAAATAAAATGACCTCAATCTTTTCCGTTCCCATAGTTTATTGTTTCTTTTCTCTGTTTCTACCAAAAATTGGATAAACTCTTCAGTCTGGCGCTTTGGTCTCAACTAGCACTTTCTTTGAAGGACAATATTTTCGTATTTAGATCAAAGTTTATTGATCTTTGAGAATGGGCTTATGCATTATTATGCCATAATCATTATATTAACTTGAAAATGGTCTCAAAACAACATTATTGTTTACCGCAATAACGTCTGGGACAATTTATAAATATTTGTTATTGTGAAAGGCCTATTCATGGTATAACACACTGTGCTCTTTGGATGCAACATGAAATGTTCTGATCTTACCTGGTCTGGTTGTAGTCGTTGCCATGGACCAGCTGGGGGTGTGGTCTGAACACCAACTCGATCTCTGAGGCCGGCCCCTCCTTGTGGCGCCTCAGGGGAGGAGTTGGGCTCCCGCTGTCCGCCTCGGGGCCTGAGCCATCGTCAGAGGCACGCTGCCGCTTGCGGCTCGGTCCAGCCTCCGGGGGAGTTTGTCCCCTGGGGTGCGGCGTGTTCGAGGGGGCAGAGTCATGGGACAGGTGTGAGCGGGAATCACCGTTGTCCTCACCACCGCTGAAAGTGGTGTTGTCGCTCTCTTGAGTAGGCTTCTTCACACGATGATTCCTGTAAGGAGCAGGGAAACATTAACAACATTTTAAAGTTAGTGTTGTTTAAAACTAATAAAGATGTTTGTCCTCATAATGATTCCCTGGTATCGCAACACAACAGCTTTGAACGTTTTGGATTGAAATTGAAACTGTGCCACTTGCTGGCTCAATGCATTAACACAAGGGGGCAGCAGAAGGCTGATGTGAAGTCAGCCTTCACATCAGCCTTCTGTATATATTCCTCCTTCATATATATATATATTGCAAGAATATATTTTCAGCAATGAATACCTGAATAAAATACATACAAACAGCCTATGATGATTCTGAATAATCAATATGAACCCAATAAAAGATTACAAATTCAACTGGCAGTTTCTCTCTAAAACTTTAGAATTTGTACTTTATAATAGTATGTAAGTTTACTACTCTATTTACACCAAGTCAGCAAAGATGTCCTGGGAATGATTACTGTAGAATAATCTGTCTGGAGATACTAAAAACATTTTCATCTAGGAGGGGGAAAAAATAAGTCATTCGCCATGCGCCCTCCTGATAACCTCCCTTTCCTCCCCCACCTCTCGGACCTGTAGCGGGCCTGCTGGCGGAGCCCCTCCTCGATGCTGGAGCTCAGCGCCTCCTTGTTGTGCAGCCTGTTGAGCCTCTCCAGGACGGTGCGCTGATGGGCCTCGTACTCGTCACGACTCGGGTAGATCTTTGAAATAAGCGCGTCAAAGTTTGAGTCTCTGCGCAGTGAACGTCGGGAGACCAGTTTCTTCCTGCAGGTTGGGCACTCTTTGTTCCTGAGGTGTCATAAAGATAAGTTTTTTTTAAATACAATAAAGTCATTAGTTATACCTGTTTTGCACAAGTGTATATATGACACACTTCCATTCAAAGATATACTAAAGTTGTCCTGTTTATTCTCAAAATCAGATGTACTGATAGTATTTATATATTTTTATATATTCAATAACTGCTCCACATATTGAGCAGTTATTAAAAACTTTCCACCCTGCATTACTTCACTAATGCCTAATGGCAGTTGTGCTCACCCAGATCGCAGTGCAGTGACAATACAGTCAGAGCAAAAGCGGTGCAGACACTCTTTGGTGGTCATTGTGTTCTTCAGCATGTCCAAGCAGATGGGACACATCAGCTCACTGTGCAGCGAGCGAGGAGACACGGCCACTTCAGTTCCATCCACGATGGCCTCCTGTGCACACACAAACAAAATTCTGCTTTGTTCTGTTGCTTTACAACGTAACAATCAAGGAAAAATCCAATCTCAGAAAACCTTATGGGGGAAATTAGTCCAATTCATACAAGTTGATTTCTGTGGACCTGGTTTGAGTAAATTCAATACATTTCCTGTAAAAGCCATCTATTTACATAGTCAAACTCAGATTCTATCAGAAGTAATCCAAATTGGAACATTTCATAACGTTTTGTTTACATTTGGTTAAAATGATCGAGGCAGAATTTCTGCGATCAGTTCAGATAAACCCAATATTCATTAAAAATATGTAAGATATCTTACATATTTGGAGCTGCTGAGTTTGAGATGAGAGAATTCAAAAAACTAAAATTATAATAATAAAAAAAAGGACAAGTAACAAAACTTCACAGCAAATAAAGACAATAAATTCAAACATTGTCTGCCAATTTTATGTATTCAGGTAATCAATTGAACTTATGATCGGTGTTTAAATGTATTCAAACTGACTTTAGAGGTGATAAATCTTCTCTACTTTGGCTTTTTCATCACACATAAGAAAAATGATTAGTGACTTTAAACATAGATTGCTACAGGAGACGTTACGAACTCAGTCGGTCATCGTAACACACTTATCCATGATGTCTTTGATGTCATACAGGCGAACCTGGACCCTTCTTTAACACAGGCAGCCTTTGTCTCAGCCAAAACATAGCTGAGGCATTAATCTCTTTCTGTAATACACCCCTTTGAACTGTGGAGTTTTAACCCTGTTAGGCCAGCTCCAACATATCTATGTCCCATTCGAAACTGTACGTATTTCACCCTTTTAAACATGACGCAATAGTCACGTCAAAAAAGACTTACAGACAGCTTTATGAATTTCCTTTTTGTTTGGTGCTACCACTTACCTGAGGGCTCCTGTGTAGTTCATACAGGCTCAGCTCCCAGGTCTTACTTGGAGTCTGGACATTTACAGGAGCTGCCATGCCTGCTGTTTCTCACAATTACTGAATTAAAAAGAGAGAAAACGAAACATTATATTCTTAGCAAGTTTTTTTTTTTTTTTTACCCCATAAAGAACCACATAGTACATCTTTATGTGGTTATAGGATTTGTTACAGAAAAAAAACAGGTGGAAATCCTTCACCACAAGAACATCACTGGTAGGATATTGAATTTCAAGGCAGTATATCTGATATTCAGCATAATTATTGCATGTTTGGCAAGTTGGATAGACTCCAACAGGATGTGAGGCCAACATGTGATAAACATCTTTATCACAATGTTTAATGTTGGGAAAACATAGATTAAAAGTAAGAAGTATCCTAAAATATATTTCTGATATCAATATATTAACATCTTTATTGTCTCTGGATTGGAAGATGGTGTTAATTGAAATAGAGAAATTCAGTGTTTGATGAGTAATACTGTGGAAAAGCTTTAACTACTCCCCATTTTTATATACTTTCATTCAGCAAGACCTTTAACCTTTTAAAGTGGTTTTGTGCAACAGCTTTCCAGGTATTTTGTCCCTGACGTTGGCAATATACTGTGTGACTTTTGGAGGATTTTATGACTGAATAATTGGTAAAAATGCAAAGAATGAGTCAAAAGGCAGAAAAAGTTAAAAGAAACATTTTTAATAGACTACAAGAGACTGAAGGGTTTATGTGCAGAGATTAAAAGAAAATCTTACTCCTTAGAAATAAAGTATGAAAAAAGCTTGGTTGAACTCTTGTTAGTTGACTTTCTTAAAGTTTTACTGCATTTAATTTTTTAAGAATGTCCCCATGTGTAATGAAGTTTAAACATTGACATTTTTAAGTTTCAGAGGTTTTTATTCAGGAATACATCAAGTTTATGTCAAAAAGCCTAAATATGTTCTCAATATGTTCTGAAGAACTGGGCAGTCTCCTGGCTATGAAACCAAATCTTCAACATTTCGATACCTTGGCTACTGCTGCATCATGTGCATTGCCCTATTTTAAATTTCCTAAGAGTTGACTATATTATTATTGAAAAGCTCCATTATTGGGGACACAACGCAAATTGCGGTTTTTGTTATTTTAATCCTTTATTATCGTTGCAGTTCACTGGATCTGATCGATCTTCATAGCGACTTAGATTTAACGCAAAATGCCTTGAGAGCAACTAGTTTACGGATTTTTTTTTCTTCTAAATACTCACAATTGTGGACCATAACAGCATCATTGCTGTTAAGAAAGTACTAATTCATGCTTTCTTCAATAAATATAACTTAAATTTATCATTTGGTTTGCACATTTATTGTACCGTTTATGCATCATCTAAAATCTCGAATGTCACGAGATTTTAGATGATCTAAAATCATCTAAAATGATTTTAGATGATCTAAAATCATCTAAAATGATGATTTTAGATGATTTTAGCACAATTGTGTTTAACAGCACTATTGTGCTGTTAAACACAATAGTGTTTAACAGCTATTGTGTTTAATAGCTGTTAAACACAATAGCTGTGTTTAACAGCTATTGACTGTTAAACACTGTCAATAGCTTAAAAGAACTCAATATAGTTCGCTAAAAAAACTGTCCCCAAACAGTTCTTGAATTCGTCATTTAGAGCTCATGCTGTTGAAACAGGCTAATTTGACAGTAAGATCATTAAACCCCAGCAACAACGAAACCTTAGACGTCATAAGTTTCTAACAGTAAACAAGTACATCAACTTTTATTCTTCCCCGTTTCTGACTGTTACACGCAAAATTCTCGCTATTAATCACTTCATGCAGCTTTCAGACAAAACAAAAGAACTAAATGGGTCGATCAAATCGAAAACTCACCTGACGTTTAACTGACGGACAGCTGACAGGAGCAGACACAAATACACACCACTTCAAGACAAACTTCTCACTAAATACCTCTAAACACACACACTGATGCGTATTTTCTGCCCGGGTCTTTACACAGTCGAAAGAGTGTCCCGGCTAAGCCTCGTCTGGAGGATAAGTAGCACAGAAGAATCAAAAATGCAACATTTTTCTCAACACCAACGGCTAGTTAGCATTAGCCGTAGCCATGTTGCTGCGTCGTCTTCTTCATACGTCATACTACCGCACTTACCTAGCAAGACTGCCCCCAACGGACAAGCCATGTATTGCAAAATAAAATGCCGAAAAGCTTATTTCCAAATGATAAGTAAAATACAAAAAATCAAGCTTTGATTTTTAAGTAAGTTTTTAAACCCTAACTTACATATTTAAATGGACTTACTGACATAATTCAGCTGGTTCCTTTGTACTTGAGGCATAAGTTTCCTGCGAACTGAATTAATCCTTATGCTTTCCTTTTAATTGTGTTTGTTTGCTTTGTGTTCGGCTGCATCCTATGTACACAATAGAGCATTATGGCCGAAGCTTCAGCAGTCATAAGACTTAATAGCCAAACAAACAAACAAACAAACAAACAAACACACAAACAAACGCAGTAAGCATTTAAATTCCTACTCGTATGTTTTATTTCATTTCAAATTACATGCAGTTTTCACAGCCTTGATTTTATTTGCACAATTTTATTTGTACGTTTTGCAATGTCCACTCTGAGATTCATATCTTTATATCTCGCTATTTTATTTTTACAGACATGTCTGTTTAATAACAGACATGCGGCAAGAGGACGCGACTTAAGTTCAGGATGGCCGCGCCGAGGTCTGACCTTTGTTTGCTCTCATCTATATGCGCCTCACGACGTCCAGTAGTATATTATTTCCAGTAATTAAACAGTGTTATCTGCCCTGTGTTAAATGCTCTTAATGTCCAGTGTCTTATTCTATAAACATTAATATATTTTAATTCCACTTAGAAACAAGATAAATCTTACTTATAATGTCAGACATGTTGTTTATGGCCAATACCATATATCTCCTGCAGATATCAAAAGTGAACATAGTTTTCAAATTAAAACCAAATATACAAAAGTATGACAATCTAAAAATATTTCTTTAATGGTTCAAATAATTTTTATTCTAAAATGTCATTGCCTTGTTTTAGTGAGGAGGCCTATTGCAGTATTACAATTAATAAGTTGGACCAAAGTGCTGTACAATAAGGTGAAACAAGTGAAGAACAAAAACATATATAACAAAAAAATCAATACAAAGAGGGAAGTAGTAAAAGTAGTAAAAGTACATTTAAATCAAAATATACTGTGAATGGTCAGTTCTTATAAAGGAATATTTATGTATCAGAAGATTTTGTAGGTTTAAAATTTTATTATTATTATTATTATTATTATTATTATTATTATTATTATTATTATTATTATTATTATTATCCATTTCTCCATCCATTTTCTGTACACCCTTGTCCCTGGTGGTGCCTATCTCCAGCTAACGTTCCAGGCGAGAGGCAGGGTTCACCATGGACAGGTCGCCAGTCTGTCGCAGGGCAATACACACAGGGCAGGACAGGGCAGGGCAACACACACAGAGACAGACAGGACTGTCTCTGAGACAGCCTTGTCTGTCTCAGGACTGACAGTGCTGAGATAGACTCCAAACCAGACTGTTTGGTGACAATTTGGAGAGGCCAATTAACCTAACAATCATGTTTTTGGACTGTGGGAGGAAGCCGGAGCATGCAAACTCCATGCAGAAAGTCCCTAGGCCAGGAATCAAACCCAGAACCTTCTTGCTGCAAAGCAACAGCTCTATCAACTGCGCCATTGTGCAGCCCTATTATTATTATTATTATTATTATTATTATTATTATTATTATTATTATTATTATTATTATTATTATTATTATTATTATTTCAGCATTTCATACTTAATTGCTGTTTCGTTCACCAAGTGCCAACCAGGTCTCTTAGGTTTAATCTCAGACATGTGTTCAGCTGAGTACTAGTCGAATTATGCAAGTGCCCCCCAGCACCACAGTCTTTTGGATTTCTTTGGCACTGATTCTTCTTATTATTATTGTAGCATTATTATTATTACTATAACAACAATACTTCTTATAATCAGTCAAATCCAACGAAACAAGGATTTAACTCCTGGCCTTGAAACCTTTCATGTTTTCCTCTTTGTCAATTTTCTATCTGATTAATAAAGGCTAAGAGCGGCACAAAATCCTAAAAGAAAATCTCACAATATTTTGAAAAGTATCTTGTATATTAAGAATTACTCTAATAATAAGGACCTAATATGTAATACAGCTACTGACAAATATCATTTGTGGCAATACAATCTGTTTGACCTTGCAAACAGATTCTTTAGAGCAAAAACATGATGAGCAAAAGCATTTTTTTAAAGTGATGTGTTTTGTTCTAAGGAAACATAAAAAAAAGTCACACCATGTAATTACGATTGTCCAAAAGAAATGAAAGAAGCTATTCGTCCTACTGCAGTTGCTGAGGTTTCTCTGAATAGCTCAGCCAAAGCCCAACAATGACGAATGTAGACAGTCCAGTTTAACTGGCCTGAACATGTATTTCCATTTGCTAAAAAAAGTTTTTGATTTTATATGCATGTGCCAATACATTTGACTTCAGGCTTGTATTTGCCTGAACTCACTGCCTTAGCTAATATTATGGAAACTTAGTTCAGAAAATACATTAACCATCTTAATTTGCTGAGTGAGAGATATTGTGTTAAAGACTGAGAACCTCTCTCCCTATCTCATAAAATCAAGTGTGTGAACTAATTGTTAATTAAAAAAAAGCACCTTAATTACTAACCTCCTGTTACTCTAAGTAAGCTGCAATAATTTGTAAAAATGTTCAAACTTCATGTGTGAGTTTAATTTTGTCTGTACTTATTCCCTCTTTGTAATACCAAAATCCTTTGTTTCCTTGTGTCTTTAATGTGTCATAGGAAGCTTAAAACTCCTCAACTCAACTGTAAATATACAAAATCCACAGGTTTCCTTACTAATGAGGTGTGGCAATGATTTGTTGAGTTAATGACTGGCAGTTTCCTTGGTACCAATACTGCAGTCTTCGAAGTTCTTAACTTCAAACATAAGTCAGCTCATTGACACAACATGCTGAAATTTTTGATTTTGATCACAACATGCAGGAACACAATCAAACCGGTGACTAGATTTATAATGATCTACATCTTGATAGGCCACATTTAGAATACCTAAAGTTGTTTTATTTATCTAAACATTCCAGATTCATCAATATTTGTTGATTTTTCTTTAGTGATATTTGTAGTAGAATGTCAAGGCAAAGCAAGCTGAAAGGGTGATTTTTGCATGGTTCTAATGTAGTGTGGTGGGAGGCCGAGAAGGTTAGTCTGATAGTCTATGACTGGTACAGGAGATTCACACCTGCTGTGACAAAAAGGCACCGACATTCTTCTAATGAGTAATGTGGGTGGGAGACTGACTGAACAATACGCCTTTGTTGGGTTAATTGTAAGGTGGCCTGTGCAACCTTATGACCGTAAAATTATTTTCAGAATATCTTTTATGAATATATTTGTACTCCTGAAGGTCAGTCTCTTCTCACAATGTAACCTCGCATCCACCAAAGCTAACCATTTCACAACTGAAAGACACATCCTGAGAAAAAGGATAATACACCCTGATTCTGGGGGGTCTAGTTTAAGCTTACCCTGAGCCTACAAAATGATACACAACACCAGGTTCAGGAGAAAGAGACAAGGTGAAATTTTAGAAATATTTTGGAGAAACTTAATCAAATATTTTTTGATCAAATACAGCCCAGAATTATAAAAAAGGTGAAACAGGCCCTATAGTTCAGCTTGTGTCCTATTACTGCTGTTAACAGCCAATGGTTAGTATTCCCTCAGTTCTTACAAAATGTTGGCATTTTTGTTGCAAAGAAGGCTTTTGATTTTATATACATCTGATGACAGCCTTGCTTCTTTTGTTATTATTTATTTTACTTTTATTTTTCAGGAAAGAAATCCACTGAAATTATTAGTCTATTTTACAAGGATGTGCTAACCAACAAAAGCAGAATAAGGCAGTTCAAAGTCCTTTACTTCATAAAAACACAAAAACAACAATGTTTGTATGTTTGTATGATAAAAAAAATCATACAAGCAACATACATTGTAATAAAAACAAGGTATCAACCAAAAAAAATGCAGGTGCAGGTACAATTTGTGACTAAAACCTGTAGCAGTTTTTGTTTACAACTACATAAAGAAATAGGAAAGTCCAACCTCAACCTTAGATGCAAATCATTCCAACACCATGCACCAAAATAGGACAGACTGATCTCTCCTAACAATGGGCACCATTAACCACAGCCAGCTAGTAGCTTTCAGGATGTGTGCTGTACAGTGAACTTGGAATTAATATTTGTTGGCAATTTTCCTAAAACTGCTTTGCATATGAAAATATACCAATGCTTCATCCTGCAAATATGAAGTGAGGTAAATTCAGCAAAATAGAGTGCAGTGTTGAGCCTTAACCTGTGAGCCTGTTTTTTTAGAGCTGAGTGATAAATACTTTCCCTTAGGCTTATTCACTTGAACTGGCTGTCTGTTTTAATCAAAAATGTTAAACTTTAGGTAAGGAAATACACTAATAGCTACTTCAGATATGCTTTAATTAACATCTTTTAACTTTACAGCTTCTAAGGGCATGTCCTAAACAATTTAATCTTTAAAATGAATCATCTGTTTAGGAGCTTCAATTATGGGACGTAAACAGCAAAATAATTGTTGTTAACATCAGACCAACTAGTCTGATTCAGATCTGATTCTTGCCCAACTGGATATCAGTTCTGTAAACAAAAAAAACAAAAAACTTTTCCCAGGCCAGGTAAAGAGTGCAGCAGTCTTTTCTACCAGTGGTCCAAATTAGTTGGCGAAGCATAAAACTATTAATAACTGTATCTGGTACATGTTTGGTTTAAAAAAGTTTATTCATTCAGTGAAATTACTCACGATGTGTAAAGTAGCCATACGTTTTACTAAAGTAAAAAGTACAGTGCAGTGAAACTACTCCTAAGAGTATGTATTTATAATCAAGCAAATACAATTAAGTAAATGTCATATTACCCACCTTAATTAACATTTTCCTTTGTGACAAATTGTATTTAGGGAAGCAAAAGTTGAACTGAGTAAAATACAAACAGAGTAAAGTAAGGAAATAACCCTGCATGGAGTTGGAAAAG